TTGCTGATTAGCAAAATTTAAATGTTATTTTTTAAGCGTCGTTATTGTTTATTAGTTAAAATTAATATTTTATTTGAAAAACATATATTTAACATTATTATACATTATTACAATAAAATTAATTACTATAAACACTAATAACACTTAAATTTATTAATTTTAAGTAAGGTTTATCCTTTTTAAATTGCATTTGGATTGAACGAAGTCAACAAGCGTCATAAATTTGTTTTGATACGTGAGTTGAATTTTTGTTTTCGGTTTTGTTTGTGGAGAACACATACGCAATGGATAGAGAAAGAGCCTAGGAAAGCCACACAAACATAATTTCAAATGAACCAATGAAATACATGAAGTACATCCATGGTATTTTTAGGTATAATTTGTGTCTTTTCCTTAAAACAAGAGAGGAAAATGTATGAACTACCTGCTCCTGCACGTGGCGGGCAACAACAGCTTGTTATTAGATATGCATGGATAGAGTGAAATCTAATCTGTCTATAAATAGGCAGTGAGGGTATTGGGTGATCCAAACAAGATTGATAGTATTGGATACAGATCGAAATGGCATATTTAGAGAAAATAAGAGAGGCACAGAGGGGTGGAGGCCCAGCCACCATACTAGCCATTGGCACTGCAACTCCATCCAATTGCATTTACCAGTCTGATTTCACCGATTATTACTTCCGAGTCACCAAGAGTGACCACATGACTCAACTCAAGGCCAAGCTCAAGCGCATATGTAAGCTCACTATTCTTCTCTTTCCATTCTTAAATTCATGCATCACCCCCAAAGTACATGCATGCCTTCATGCACACGTTAAACAAAAATACTTGCTACCCTACTAATTTAATTAAGACACCTTTACCTGTCTCATCTACTAATAGAGGGAGATGTAAATTTAAACCATATTTATAAAGTCACATAATTTCTTAAAAAATTGTATCATTTTTATATGATTCACATAATTTAGATGTTTTAATTCTAATCATTAATAATGAAATTAATAATTAAAAGTTTTCTTCCTTGTATAAGTATCAAAAAAATTATCTCACCTCCTCCCCCTCTCTCTCTATATATAAAGGATCAAAAACTATTATAAAAAGAACTCAGCTTTATAGGAAAAAAAATTCTTAATTACTGAATGACTTCTCATGTACATAGTTTTTGTATTAAACTCTTAAATTTTTTATATAAAAAATTAGTTTCTTTCACTGTATAAATTACATAAAAAAATACACAAATAAAATGTTAGTTCCAATTTTATCTCGCATGTAAAGATGAAAGTAAAGCAAGTCGGATTAGGTTTTGTATAAGGAGATATGATATATTTAATAATTTTGAATTTTAAATATGATTCATTATTTAATTTTTTTTATTAAACTTAATTTGACTTTTTAAAAACTTAACTCACCTGTTAATATTTTTAATAATCTGCTTTATATTAAAATATTTAATTAGCTATTAGACCCATTTATAAATAGGTTATAAAATCATATAAATAGGTTTGTATTTAAAAACACCACAAGACTTATAATTAAATAGACTATAAAAAATGATTAAGTACATTTAATACTTATAATAAAATTATATATACTTATTTATTATTTTCAAATTACATATACTCTTTAAATAAATAAATTATTATCAAACATAAAACAAATACAATTAAATGAAATTCAATCTTTAAATTATCAAACAAACTTAGTAGTATAAATTTTTATACTTTAAATCAACAAGTATAAGAATAAAAATTAAAAATAAGGATAAGAAAGAAATAAAGTTTTCAAATTTATAATTTTATTTATTTTAATATTTAATATATTTAATATAATATTATAAAAATATTATAATTAATTATATTTAATTTTTTTTATATTTTTATAAAATTAATGAATTTTAAATTGGCCAATTATCAAATTTAATAATTTTTTAAACTCAAACTTAACGTATTTAATTAATTAATTTTTTTAGAAAATTTAAATTTAATCTATTATTTAAATAAATTGGGTTAATAAGGCAGACTTTACACATACAAGCGTAGGCCCATTTCAAATAATTTGACCTACTTCCATCCTACATGTCTTTCTAATAATAAATAAATAAAATAGGAAAAATAATATTAACTTTTTTAGACATGCTATTTTTTATAATTTCATTATTTAGATAAATAAATATAAGCATCATATAACAAAATAATATTTATATCTTTCACTTATTTTTATTATTATATATGCATGTATTTTAAAATATAACATAAATATAGAAGAAATTCATAAAATTATCCTCTTCTAACTTCTATTTTTTGTTTACCATGAAATAGTCAATAATGATTAATTGTTAAAGTTGCCTTTACTGGCATAGATTTTATAGTATTAAATAAACATGGTGTTTATAACATAAAATTGTTTAGAAAATTCTCTGTTGACCCGAGCTTCTTGGCGTGGAGAACAGGTGAGAAGTCAATGATAAAGAAACGATACGTGCACTTAACCGAAGAAATCCTGAAAGAAAACCCCAACATAAGCACTTACAGTGAATCATCCTTGGATGCGCGACAAGACATCTTGGTTGAGGAGGTACCAAAGCTGGGAGAGAAGGCAGCATCAAAAGCCATAAAAGAATGGGGAAGACCCAAGTCAGAGATAACTCATTTAATATTTTGTTCAACATCGGGTGTAGACATGCCTGGTGCTGATTATCAACTCATCAAACTCTTAGGCCTCAAACCTTCCACCAAAAGGATCATGCTATACCATCAAGGTTGCTTTGCTGGTGGCACCGTGCTTCGTCTTGCCAAAGACCTTGCTGAGAACAATGCTCATGCACGTGTCCTCGTGGTGTGTTCCGAGATCACTGTTGTCACCTTTCGTGGACCCTCCGAAACGCACTTGGATTCCTTAGTGGGCCAAGCTCTCTTTGGTGATGGTGCTTCATCCGTCATCGTTGGATCTAACCCTGACCCCTCCATCGAACGACCCTTATTTCACCTTGTCTCGGCTTCAGAGACCATTCTACCCCACTCTGAGGGTGCCATTGAGGGACACTTGCGCGAGGTGGGACTCACGTTTCATCTCAAGGACAATGTTCCTCAGTTGATTGGAGAGAACATTGAGAAAAGCCTTGAAGAAACCTTTCACCCGCTTGGAATCAACGATTGGAACTCGTTGTTTTGGATAACCCACCCTGGTGGCCCTGCAATCTTGAAGCAAATTGAAGCGAGTCTTGGGTTGAAGGCAGAGAAACTAAGAGCAACTAAACAGGTTCTGAGTGAGTATGGGAACATGTCGAGTGCATGTGTCCTGTTTATATTGGATGAGATGAGAAGGTGGTCCATGGAAGAAGGGAAAGACACAACTGGTGAGGGACTAAAGTGGGGCGTTTTATATGGGTTTGGCCCTGGCTTGACCATGGAGACCATCGCTTTGCATAGCGCTACCATAGACCACGGCCACTAGCTAGCTGCCACGATAGTGGGAGAATATATACACTTTTAGCGTTTAAACTTAAATAAAGTCATGTATATGCCTACTTGTTTGTGTAAGTATAGGCTGAGAAATGTTGCATCTTGTATTACAAAGTCTGATAGCAAATTATATACAGAACAAAGATAGGAAACACAGAGTAAGAAGATGATGTAATAAAAATAATAATAGGGTTGTAAAATTGTTATAAGAGATTATTGTGTAAAACTGACATTAGTCGTACTGCTTCTTATACAATTTATGATATAATAAAGAAGTTATATATATATATATATATAGAGAGAGAGAGAGAGAGAGAGAGAGAGAGAGAGTTTTTTAAGTTATTTTAATGAATAAATTTATATAATTTATAAAAATATTTTTTAATTTATGTTAATAACTTTTATAGTTAAATTTGTTATATAAGTTCTCATATAAAACAGTCGTATATCACAAATACAAATTTCACTTTTAAATTTAAAATAAATAGTCGTATACTAATTAACCTTATTTGTGTTAAAAATATAAAAGTTACATTAATTTCATAAATTTGCACTACTAGTATGGTATACATATTTTTAACAAATTCTTAAAAAAAGGCATTTTAAAAACATAATTATTAAGAATTAAAAAATTCACACACAAAACACTCACTGAGTATATTTTTAAAAAAAATTAAAATTATAACCTACTAATATATGTTTTTCTAAAAATAAACTTGTGAGTATTAATTCATATCGAATTAAGATTCAAGTTGCTTTTTTTTGAATTTTACGTGATATAATTTTATAAATTAATTTTTTATAAGAAACAAAAGATTAAGTTAATATAACCAATAAAATAATTAAATTAATTATATTTTTCATAAATAAAAATTTTATTTTAAAAATATTCATTATATTAAAGCTTATAATTAGTGTAATCAGTGTTTTTAAATATATATTTAATAATAAAAGAAAAGTATAAAAAATTACCAATTAATATATTTTAAATTTATCTTCTGATTCTTATAATTGGGAAAAAAATAATTTATTTTATTTCTTATAAAAATTACTATAGGAGTTTTTTTTTAAACATATATGTTGAATACTCAATAAATATTTAATAAATAATTATTATTAATAAAAAATATTAATTAAAATTATTTATATATCAGATATTGAAATATTCTATAAAGTTTTATAAAAAATATGTGTTGTGTATGTTACATTAATTAGATTTAATAAAAATGTCTATACATAAATTCACATCTAAAATTTGAAGTTAAAAAGTAAACTCAGAAATTGAAGATGTTATAATTCAATGAAGCATGCATGAAGGATAAAAAGTTAAAAGTAAAAACATAAATAGATGAAATTGAAGAAAATACAAATTTCATGAAGCAAATGAATGAAAGCAAATTCACTTGAGAAGCCTATTTATATTAATACAAGCATTAATATGGTATTTGATACAACACATAAACATCAAATAATAAAGTTTTGAGTAAGGATAGGCTTGTCAATTACAATCCATCACAATTAACATCTGCTTAATTATCATCTTCCACTGGGGAAAGTCGTCGAAATCTGGTTTAAGCTATCAACACCAGAACTAATACCACTACTTCCACCAGCGTCATTTACAACACTTAAAACATACGCTTCTGATTGGAGAGAAATCTCAGTGTCTTCTGAACACAAATTGGCACTTTCCTGTTGGTGCATTTCCGCAAATCTCAGTCCCGCAAGTTCCATTGCCACTTCTTTCATTGTGGGTCTTTCTTCTCGTTTCACCTTTAAACACTGTTTTGCAATTTTGGCAAATTCCATCAGTTGGTCAACATTTGCGGTCGCCTCATCAATTATGTGATGGTCCACAGTGTCAAGTAATCGATCCTCTTTCATGGAAGAAACGAAGAACAGAGCAAGGTTCGTAACACACTCTTGCTTGTGAAAAGCGAGTGCCTTTTTTCCTGTGAGTAGTTCTGCTAGGACAACCCCAAAGCTATAAACATCACTCTTCTCAGTTAAGTGGCTTGTGTGTAAGTATTCAGGGTCAAGATACCCCAACGTTCCTTGCACCAAAGTGGTTAATTGAGTTTGATCTAGAGGAACAATTCTTGAAGCTCCAAAATCAGAAACCTTTGCTGTGAGATTGTGATCAAGTAATATATTTGTAGTTTTCACATCTCTGTGGATGATTGGTTCAGAAGTAGCAGAATGCAAATATGCCAGGGCCTCAGCAGTTTCTGTTGCTATTCTTAATCTAGTTTTCCATGTAAGTTTTAAGGACTGGCTTTGACCATGAAGATGCTCATAAACAGTACCATTGGAAATGAATTCATAAACAAGCATTGGAACTTCTGTCTCTAAACAACAACCCAAGAGCTTTACCACATTCCTGTGGTTGATTTCGGAAAGCAACATAACCTCGTTAATAAACTGCTCAATCTGGTTTGGATCACTGATTTTGGATTTTTTTATCGCTACAGTTCTATTATCTAATAACACTCCTTTATAAACTGTTCCTTGACCACCTTGCCCTAGTATCCTATCTGGATTGAAGTTATTAGTTGCCCTTTTTAGCTCCTCCACTGTGAAGACTTTAGTCATTTCTGACCCTCTATGCCTCGCTACTCGTTGTTGTAACAATAGACCACCATTTTGCTCAAAAAAGTGTTCCTTAAGTTTCATGAGCTTTCTTTTCTTGAATGCCCAGTACACATAAAAGCTTCCCCCCAGCAGTGCTATGATGCCTATGCTCACACCTACGCATAAACAAGCGGAAACAAAGTCAATTTCTTCGTTTTGTCTTGTACATGTCTCAACTTCATGTTGCCGATGGTGTATGTTATAAAATCAAAATGTCACTCTATTCGGATAATTCCTGAGCTTACAAGTAATACGTATAGGCCTAATAGAGTAAATGCTATTTTAATCGTACCAAAATCACCTTGAATATATGCATAGAATTAATATTGTTGATTACCGATAAAGATTCTTTGATCAATATAATTTTAATAGTAAACTTGGTTATTGACAATAAAATGAAGAGCTATGATAGATTTGAGAACAAAATGTGTCGTAATTTCCAGCAGTGCAATAGTATACTCACTCAAAGTTGTTACGAGTATGATGTCTCTGCTGTTCGTATCTTTTTTGCATCCTGATCCATTTACTTTTCCATCTCCTACGAATCCTTTTCGGCATGAACAATTGTAACTCCCCGGATAGTTTTTGCACTTTTCCCGATGAATGCAATCGTTAGATCCCTTGCATTCGTCAACATCTAAGAGATTATTTGTTAGTTATAATTTCTGATTTCACACTTAAAATTGTAATAGCAGAAAAGTTTATAGTTTATAATTAGTTAATTGAATTAAATTTGTTTGATAAAATTAGTTTTTTAATTAACTAAAAGCTATTAAATGGCTTAGAAGAAAATATTTTATGTTATTTGTGTATTTAAAATGTTTAGATAGACTGTAAATAAAATATTTTATTGAAAACTAATTTTTAATAAGATGAGTATCGCTTAAAGTAACTTTTAATAAACTAGTTTTTAAAAGTTATAAATCTTTTTTATATTTTGTTTATCAAACAATTCTACTAATGTATTGATAAAAAAAATTATAAAGTCAAATAAGTTATAAGTTTATGTTATCAAAAACACTCTACTTCCAACAAAATAAAGAAAAAGTTTTCTTTTAGGTAAACTACTCAATAAACATTCCACGAGGAGAAAAATAAGTAAAATAAATTTAAATTATTTTCATAAGTTAAAAGCATGTACAATAACTTTTTAAGAAGTTAGATGATTTGGCTATTAAAGAAAGTTGAGATGCATAAAGTTTTTCAACTTATAAAAAAATATTTTATTTTCAAGTGTTTGGTAAAATATTATAACTAATTAAAATTAAAATTTATTTAACTACTTATGGTTTGTTTGTATTAAGAGAAAAGAAGAAAATAGTAAAAAAAAAGGTAAGAAAGACTATCTGTTTAAATGAAGAAAAGCTAGAAAGAGAAGGTATTCTTTATCGACTTCATAATAGTTAAAAAAAAAAAAACTTCAAAACAGGAGGAAGTAAAACAGAGAGAAGAAAAGGGGAGGAGAATCTGAGGTCGTAGAGAAGTTTATTTTTTAAAACATTTACATAGCATAAAAACAATAAAATAATTAAAACATATTTTTATTAAAAAATATTATGATAATAATAATAAATTAGTTTAATTTAAAAAATTTTGATTATTTTTAATATTATTTATCAATTTTTCATTAATCTAAATAAGATTTTGTTTTAAAAAAATCTTCATTTGAGTAAACTACTCAATAAACATTCCATGCGAAAAAAATAAGTAAAATATATTACATTATTTTCATAAATTAAAATTATGTATAAATTTTTTAGAAGCTGGATATGGGATTATTTTCAAAGAAAGTTGAGATGGATAAGATTTTTAAATTATTAAAAAAAACCTTTTTCTTCAAGTGTTTGGCAAAAAATTAAATAGAATGGACTAAGAAATAATATTAAAAAAAAATTATTTTCATTCATGAAGTAGTATTAAATTGATGTAAAAAAACGTGATAAAAAATAAATATAAAAAAAGTGAGTGGAAAAATATTATTATCGAAATAATATACTTATACCTAGGCAACCATGAAAGAGATAAGGGTTTCCTCGAAAGCCAGGAGAGCATCGACAAAGGTAACCATTTCCGTCCTTTGCATTGTGACATGTACTGTTGTCTGCCTTACACGCATAACTTGATGAATTCATAGCATCTTTGCATCTTTGGTTCCCCACTGCCCAATCCACAATCACAGGAAACTCCTTCTTGTCCCACTTTAAGAGGTCTTTTTTGAAGAAGCTGTAGTTTCCGTTTTCCACCAAGAACGCATAACCGCATACGATTGGATAGTTGCCAAATTCTTTGGCGTAAAAACTGTTCTTGATGATGTTCATATAAGCATAGTAGTAGAAACTTGATAGCCCTTGTTGTATTGAAATCTCGCAACAACCAACGCCGGAACAAGACCCATTCACTAATAAATGTTTGTAGTTCAGAGACAGGCATATTGGTGCAGTGTATTTATTTTCCGTCTTCGTATCTGGTTTCACAAATCCAGCGGTGTCAGCGCCAACAACTGTTAACTTGTTTCGGTTGGGCGAGAGGTGAAAAGGCGTCAGGTCGCATTCCAAGACCGATATTCCATTAAGATGATCTATATATTCGTAAGAGCTATAGTTATAACAGTCTTTCACTACTGGCAATGAAATGCGAAGTTTGCCATCCAGGAGCGAGATGCTTAACAATGGCACGCTATTATTAGTATTATTATTATACAAGAAAGGTATGTGCGTGTGTGTGGAAGAGGTTTGGTTGCAGATGATGAGAAATGAGGGGTTCAAGGAACATTCCTTGGTCATGCCAAATGGAAAGGGAATGGTGACAGAGCCACACTTGTCTCTGCAGTTTGGCTTTGACATGGGTTGGGTTTTCGTTGCTGCAATAAGGATTGCCACAAGTAGCAGTTGCAGAAGCTGCTTTGAGTGCACGGCCATGGCTTTGGTTTCTCGAGTCCATGTGATTGTGCTCCCATTCTTATTCCCTCCTAAAGCACAAAATAATTGTACTCAATAATTCAGAGTTTTGCTTTTTTAGTGGGTGACTCTGCGTAGACTTTAAAGTTCAATTCAAGTCATCGGTACCTACCACTAATTTGTCTTATATATCCACACTTTTTAAATTGTTTGCCCTCTTCAAGTTGAGTTTTGCACTTTTCATGGGATATTTTTACGTATATTTCGAGAAAAGTTAAGAAAAACAGAAAAGAAGGGATTAATATTTTTACGTAAATATGCATAATTATCAAATATAACTTAAAAACAGGTTAAAAATAAGAATTTAATTAAAATTTATTGATAATATAACAAATTTTATATTTCTATTCAATTATATAACTAACAAAATTTAATTTTATGATAATTAATATAAAAAAGTTATACATATCGTGTACTTTAATTAGTAGACAATGTAAAGTTTTTACGCTGAAACTGCATCAAAATTAAATAAGATATTGAATACAACTTCAGATTGATCATTAAAGTAGCTTTTATAAATCAAAATGGACATTCAATTAATTGAATAGAAATCTAATCCAAAACACTTAAAGTTTATTATACAAGTACTTCACATTTTCAAAACAAACTAAAAACTGTTAGTAAACATTCTCTAATATATTATTTATTTTAATATACTTTTAATTATTAATTAAGATTTATATATTAAAAAGCACAAAATTTATGTGACTTTTCACTTTCAATTTAATAATTCTTACTCTTAATTTAATGATTCTATATCATATTTTTACATTTTTATAAATTTTATACAATAATTAATAATGTGTTAAAAATATATATTCCTAACACTCATAAAAACTAACCTTAAAAATTCTAGTTCAATATCTTAATAGTATAATTATTATTTATCTAATTAACTAAAAATTATTAAAGATGATCATGTCTTAATAATGAAATGAGAATAATGGAATAAATACAATTGATGAAAGAATATATACTTTAAAAGAAAAAGAGTTGAAACTCAATTCACATCATTAGTTCATTGTAACCTTGGATTTAGTATATACTTTTAGCGTTTAAAGTTAAATAAAGTCATGTATATACCTACTTGTTTGTGTAAGTATAGGCTGAGAAATGTTGTATGTTTGCATTACAAAGTCTGATAACAAATTATATACAGAACAAAGATAGGAAACACAGGGAGTAAGATGATGTAATAAAAATAATAATAGGTCTGTAAAATTGTTATAAGAGATTATTGTGTAAAATTGACATTAATCGTGTTGCTTTTTATACAATTGTATGATATAATAAAGAGTTATATATATATATATATATATATATATATATATATATAACTCTTTTAATAGCAAAATAAAAAAAAATGTTATTAATATCCTTTACCAAATTTATTATTAAATATATGCATATCCTAAAATATAATAAAACTTAAAAGGAACTTTTTTAAAATTTTGAATTAAGAATCAAGTGATCCAATAATAATAATAATAATAATAATAATAATATTATTATTATTATTATTATTATTATTATTATCATTATATTAAATAAAAAATAATTTTTTTATCCATTTAATACAAGGTTTTGTAATAGTGCCGTGCACAAAATTCTCTTGCCACCAATAGGCATGAATCATGAGTGAGAAATTAGTATTGACTCCTTTAAATTTGGAGTTAAAATATTAAAAATCCTTGATGAAATATAATCACTCAGCAAGGTTTTAAATTTTTTTTAAAAATTCTTTTGTAACTTTGTATTTTTTAAGGGATAGCTATAGATTGGATTTGCACAAAATTAATTTAAATTTATTTTAAATTTAATTATATGAGTTAGATTTTAAATTAATCTTTTTTTTTGCTAAAAAACTGATTAAGAAAATTTTAAAATTTAAATTTGTTTTAAATCTAGTAAAATATGATATAAATATTTTTATAGTATATTTAGATTCTTTCTTTTTAAAATTTGTATTTCTAATCACTTATCTATTTCATTTAGTTAATAAAATATAACAAAATATAAAAGATGGTATGATTTAACAAAAGAAAAAATAAAAAGGCAAATTTTATGGTGTCAATGCCACTTTTTATGGATGTTCTGAATTCTTATGTTTAGCATTTGATGATTAATTTGAATGCATAATCTGGAAGGTCTATGGTGATAAATGTGGAATACAATCAGCTAGACTCCTTTTCAGAGCAAGAAAGTGTATACAATGAAAATTGTGAGTCTGGTTACTCCCTTTTTCAGGAAATATAGACCACGTAATCCACTAATTTCTGGGCAATGTTATGTATTGACGTTGGAACAATTCCTTCCTTTGAGGACTGCTACCTGTTACCAAATTTTAAAATGTTCTATTTCCTAAACTTATGTATTACCTGTTACCAAATTTTGGGTCGACACATGTGTGTATCCATGTTATTGCGGCTAACTAGTAGCTTTCTATGGTATGAAATCCTCAAAAGATCTCAAGGACAATGAATATGAAAGTGTAATGAATGTAAAATTGCGATGAACATGAAGTAGTATAGAGACTGTATTGTTATAATATGTGCATTGTAACATATCAATTAATGTAGTTACAATTTATGTTATAATACATCGATAGGTGTAATGAGGACACATGTATTGTGATATATTGATTGATGTGATATAATATATATATTATGACATACAAATTAGTGTAGAAAATATATGTCATAAATAATTACAAAAATGATTTATTTATTTGACGTGTGCTCTACTCTGATGATAATTTGTGTGCTTTGAGTGTTATGGTTAATTGATGTGTGTTAGAAATATGTTAGCCAATATTTTTTGTACTATATAAATTTTATGTCAAATAAAGAGATTCGGTGGGGCAGAAGATGCTCACCTTACTAATACTTTCAGATAATGAAAGTGAAGAGATAAAGATCGTTTATTCGTTCTAAGATTATAATCTAGTGATATTGGAAGAAAGACTGATCTGTAGAGATTAGAACAATTTGAGAAATTATAATATTTTATTTTAATTACATTTCATGTTAACTAAGTTTTGTAAATATTTTCTTAATGTCAAATTTTAGAATTTATTATATTTTGGTGAATTTTTGTTGTAATAAATAATTTAGAGATGTTTTTAATGATTTTTTAAACTTATATGTATATAATGTGAACCAAATAACTTGTTAGATGTAAATTAAGTTTATTTATTACTTTAAAGTCTTAAATTTATTCCTTTGAAAGTTTTAAATACTTTATAATGTATTCCTTTAAATTTATTCATAAGTGGGATGTAAGTTTTATTTTTATTTAATTCTTTAATTTATAAAATAGAACAAAAAATTCTTTTATTTTCTCTTTTGCTTATAAAAATTTATTTATTTTTAAATAAAAAAATGAAATTGTTACACTTAGCATTGTTCTCAAGAAACTAATGTAATGCTTTTACCTTTGGAAGTTTAAATAATATTTTTACATTGACCCTTGGTAAGTCTTGAATACTATATCAAATAGAACATCCATTTCACTACGCGTAAATTTTATTAAATAATAAATAATAAATTTTAAAAAATAAAAATTGATAGTTTTTAATTATATAAAAATGTATATGAAAAAGTAAAAATGATTTTTTAATTAAATATTTTAATTATCAATTTTTCAAAATAAAATATAAAGATTAGTTTTTTTAAATTTGTGTGAATACATATTTTTTATTTTAATAATGCAAAAACTAAAAAAAGGGAAAAGAAAGGGAGATTTGTAAAAAAGGGAACAAGCAACCTACTGTCGTTGCTTACAAAAGTTGCTCCGACCGCCATCAAAAGTCCACCAAAAAATAAAATTGCAAGAAATAGAATTGAGAGCATTTTGAAAAAAAAGAAGAAGAGGGGATTGAAAAGAAAATTGGAGAAGAAAAATCTAAAAAACGCAAAGGAACATTAAGAGTTGGAAGACAATCGAAAAAAAAAGAAGAGAGAAAAGATTTTGACCTATACTCACATATACATATTTTTTCCCAATCACGACCATCAAGAGTCCAACTTCTGATGAGGTGAGTATTTTTTAGGTCTAAATCTTCTCATCGATCTTTTTGTTCTCGTGTTGCATATAGTGTTCCATTTCTTGTTTAAAATTGCCATAGAAATTGAGAGCAAGAGAGTACAAAACTTGTAAAATAGAAGATTATCTGATAAAAAGAAATTTGTCATGAATCCTCATCAAAATATAAACAGAAATTAATGTAATACTAGGGTGCTAACCTAGATCGTCTCCCATGAATCATTGGATGAGTAACCAAATATCAAACATATAATGTGCATTGACTCAAAAAGCATGTAAAAAAAGGAGGGTTTTATGATTTCAAGTTCAATATAAAGAGCAAGAAACAAAATTATAAAGTTCAATCAATAAAATGTAGTAACCGCTAGTTTATTCATGTAAACTCTATCTTATTCATCTCAAGATTTAATACTCTTCCTCTTCTCCTAGAATTAGGTTAATTTAATAAGCAAAAATCAACCTTATGTTTCTATACGAATTAAGCAATTCAATGGACTCCAATCTCTCATCCCAAGATTACGTAACCTTAGAAATAAACCTAGAATTAAGCAATTCAAGTTTAAAATTTCATTAAAATGAATTAGGGTTAATTAAGCAATGTCCCCCTTATTCAACCATTAATTCAATTCAAAAGATTAGGAAGAAGAAATTCATGAAAGAAAATGATTTATATTTAGATTATTTTAATAATCTTATTATAGTGGTCTATGTAACTATAACATAACTCTAATTAACGATTCAATGTGATGGTGGTTAAATATAAAATATAGAGTTATTGAGGGTATAATTGTAAATACAATTATAAGGAAACCTTCCCCTCTTCCTTCATATAAATTAAAGAGCGGTTACCAAATGAGGTTATGACATTCTCTATTTTTTACTTTCACGGTCTCTTAGTGAACTCATGGTTAACGCAAGAAAGGAACTTTCTCTCAACCATCCGAGAGGAGTTGAAAGAGGAAG